CAACAATAACAAGAACCGTAAAACACAATGACTCAGGATTATACCACAACATTACGCTAACTATTTACACATTCGCATAATGCTTGCCGCTGTCACTAACCCTCCCGCTGGCTGGCATAGTCATCACAGTATAATTCCAGGGTGAGAGTCCTCATCAAAACCAGAGGTCTGGTTTGTCTCCGAGCTTACATCAGGAGATTCCTCTGTTTTTGTGTCTAGTCATTTTTAACCCCTCAAAATACAACAATAACAAGAACCGTAAAACACAATGACTCAGGATTATACCACAATATTACGCTAACTATTTACACATTCGCATTATGCTTGCCGCTGTCACTAACCCTCCCGCTGGCTGGCATAGTCATCACAATACATTTAATTATAATCATCGTGACATGACCAGCATTTTCCTTGCGTCTCGACTCGTTTTCGTAACGCGATAAAGGTTCGTTGACGACGTCATTTAGTCATAATTTTGGTTGACGAAAGCAACACTACTACAATGTGTGGTCATTTTTCACATTTTTTATTGAGTATGTCATGACCAGCACCTGTTTTTGAGGTGTGCATTTATGCTAGTTTAATTTGACTACTAATTGCTACCCTACCTGGGAACATAAAAATCTAAACCACTAGTTAATCTTGGTAAATCACAGGATTTAGAGGTCCACGCTGACCTGAATATAGGCAGTGCTTAGCTGGTTCTATGGCAGAAGTAAAGTACTTAAGTGATGCTATAACATAAAATAAAAGCCGTGTATTTGTTTCAGGTGTTTGAGTAAGCACCAACTAACTCATCTTGAAATGGCTCTCTAGGCCTTCTCATGTTTCATGTTGACTGCTCCTTTATAAAACTGTTGCATGTATGGTCAGCTAATAACTGGTTTGATTCAATACGCTAACAGGTTATTTTCATGTTTTTAATAAACTGCCCATGTAATTTGAAGCTTCTACTAATAAATGTTCGGCCACCAGGGGGCAGGATAAATCTAATATAGAATAAACAGCTTTGACATATCCTGGCAAAATCGAGCTATTGTGCTAATGTGTTTGCCAAACCTTGCCCACTTCTACATGTGGCAGTCATATGTTTGTCTGCCTGATGAATGTAAGTCCAATATTCACTCTCCTATTAGCTCCAACTACTGAGACAAATACAGCTCTTTGGATTAGGTATTTGCTATGAACTAAAAAGGCTTAAATGCAGATTTGATTCTCACTGGATTTGTTCAAAGAAATTATTCCTTTCACATTCCACATTGTCATTTTATGAATTTATTTTATAAAAATATTAACTAATGCAACTAACATCACAGAGTAGAAAAAGAGCAACTTTAAGTGCAGAAAGGAAACTTTAAATATATTGATTAGGCATGTACAGTGTGCAGACCTCAAACCAAACTGATGGAGCAAAGTTAGAGCTCAATTTGCCCTGGAGGCTCAAGTGTCAGTCATTTGGGAAAGAACTTATTTTAAGAAATGCATAATCTGTACATGCATTTATTGTGTAAGGTCAGCGTGTAATGCCAAGTTCTATGACAGCTGGCTAATGTTAAAACCCTATTATTTTGGTCAACTTGGGTCAACATTACTATTATTTGATTTAGTTGAGCTAAGCTGTATTTTTTAAAGGGACTTTTGCATTTTGAAGGTTTCTATTATTTGAAAGTTGTTTTCCAAATGACCTCTTGCTTGTCACTTTCACATCCAGTGTTGTGTAACAATTTTTCAACAGAAGTTGCCTTTGCTCTTTAAGTTAGCATGTGTGGTCATTTGCAAAGCTTGCAGTTGGTCCAGTTATTGTAAAATGCTGTACACTGAAATTAACTATAAAAGTTTCAGTCATGACTGTAAGTGTGGTTATGGTGTGGATCTGTGTAGTTGGTTTTCAAGAACTCTGCTAAGTGGAGGTTGCTTTGGGACTCTTTATCCAGGTTTCAAATGGAGTTGTCTCAGGAACTCCTTGAGGGAATCTCTTCAAATTTAACACAAGTAACTGTAAACTCAAGAATTAACTGATTAGTTTTTGGTGGTCAAAGGTCAGTTTCACAGTGACTTCACATCTCTCCCATTCATGCAGATTTGATTATCTTATTAGCTAGATTCTTTCAGTCTTCACTACATATGAGTCTGAAAAGACATGCATGTAAACTGAAGTCTGACTCGTTACAACTGTGAGGTAATAATTCTAGCTTCCTTTGCAGCGCTTAGATATCACATGCACATGGCTTGAGTCAAATTTTAACCAAAATTTATGCAAATATTCCTATAGTCCATACTGGCCACCCAGTGATGCAAATCAACCCCAGCGATTTGCATTCAGTGAAAAGAGTGTTTCAGCTGAGTTTTTATTTGTACTGTGTACAAGCTGCACTGTCATTCAGGCACAATCATGCCTTTTTATTGCAAATGATGTGACAGGAAAGGATTAGTCACACCTAATAAGGATAAGTGTCACCTAGTAAAGTGCACACAGGGAAAAGCTATGGCAGGAACTTCAGCAGCACCGGAGCCAACTGTCAGTCACAGTAAACGAAGACTTTCAGATTTGTAATTTTGCTGACAAGGTTGTTGCAAGCCTGCTGAGAACAGACTGTGTGTACATTCAGCAGAATACAAAGAGTTCAGAGCTCAGGCCAGAATCAGTTTTGTGTTACAAGCCATGCACCATCACATTTTGACCTAAAATTATTAAATCATAAAAGTAAATAAAAAAAGGTTGCAAAGTTTGTTCTCTAAGTCATTTGGAAAGTATCCTGCAATTTTTACCATAAGGTGTGATATAAAGATAAAAAAGCTTGCTGAATGACCACTGACAGTCAACAGATAGACCGAATCCCAAATCTGCTATTTGCTATTCATATTTGCTAACAAGTTGGCCATAACTTTATAATGTGATCACACTGTATGGAAGGGATGAGTGTTTATCACACAGTGAAGTTCTGCTGCCAGTCATTAATACAACTTAATACACCAGATGAGGTTTGCAGTTTCAGATGCACTGCTGTGCTGTTGTATGCACCTGAGGATGATATCACATAATGACATAAACCGCCTGTGCAGCCTTACATGGCCAGGCTGCTCACCTCTGCAGGTGAGTGATGCTGCTGAGGGAGGAGGGAGGTGGGAGGTGTCAGTCTGATTGTGATTTATTGGACACTGGTGAGATGAGAACAGAAGCCACTTCAACCAGCACCTGTTAACGTCTGTCTTCAGGTGAGCGTCTGCTGTTTCTTTACAGAATGTTAAGATATGAGAATGGTCAGAGTTGATTGTTTAAAGATATGTAAAAACCGATGGAGTGGTAGTAATGTTTTTTTTTTTTTTTTTTTTGCGTCCGCGTTTTTAAAAGCTGCTCCTGCTCTAGTCTATGGCTCAGTTAATTAACGCCAGTTTGCACTTCGCAATCAGATTCTGAACACCAGATTTAATTAGCTCCACGATCGTGGAGAGAAATGATTAACTGTGAGACTAATTAAGGAAATGCGGCCTCGCATCTTTTAGCGGTGTTGAGGCATCTCGCCCTGCACACCGGTGTAGAGCAGCTCCATGACTGATGAGCGCACAATCTGCTCATGAAGATGACGAATGTGAATTAAAAATCAGTGTAGATGATGAGACGGGAGCCTCTTAAGGGTTACCTCAGTAAGAAGGCTTCTATTCAATTTACATAAAGGTAATGTAGACCACAGTATAAATCTATTATGTGCCCTGCCCTGCAGGGGGGTATGTTCTCAGTGGTTTGTGGAAGGTGTAGCAGCTTCTCCGGTGTCTGATAGTGATGGGCAGCGGTGAGGGTGGATGTTTTGTTTGGCACAATGATCTGTAGGGTTCACAAATTTAATCTGGAGTTTCATAAATTCACCTTTTTGTTTAGGATACGTTTTTCTCCTAGAGCTCAGTTGGAAACACTACAAAAGACAACCAAAATGTTAACTTCTGACTGCTTTTTTTTTTTTTTCTGCAGTGCAGGTTAAGTGTTCAGAAGTCTGACAGATATTCAGTCTTGTGGTTCCTTTTGTTAAAAGGCCAACAGTTGACGCTTCCTCGTGAGCCTATTTCTAACTACAAAATGTAAGCTCAACAGTAGGAACTTAAAAAAAAAAAAAAAAAAAAACGCCAACCTGTTCTTTTTCCTTCCTTTGTGGATACATTTTGGAGCAGGAGAAACCTCTCATTGCCAACAACTCAGTTCCATCAGGTGGCCCAGTGAGAAAGCATGCACAGTACAGGGACCCTGGATCTAAGCACTGAATAGACTGTGTGCCTGCACCGAGTTTTCTGGTATGAGGAACCAAACCAAATTGAGTGAGGAGCATTTTGTTACACCTAGATGAGTGGGGCCAGTTACTAGTCTGAGCTTAAAATTTCTGGTGTTGCTGCATATGGGAAGAAAATGCAGTAGTGCTGAACTCTTCCTAGTGGGAAGGCTAGCTAGTGGTTTCTGTGTCAAACTACTCCTCCTGAAACTAAATGTGCAGGCATTTTGTAAACCACTTTGAAAATAAGCAATGGAAATTAATTCCTTCAGTGTGCTTTGAATTTGAGTTAGAAATTGCTTTGAGATTATTTAGCTATTTTACCACGCTGAGGAAAATGGAACAGCACAGGTCTTGTACTTGAAGTTGCTCATTTAGAAACCTGGTGGTGGTATTTAAATCATCATCCTGCACTCAAGGATTTCTTGTGCACATCAGTGTATGGAAGCTGCTGGACCTCTGTAGACGGATCAGTGTTTCATTGCCCTCAGCTAACATGTCTGAATGAGCTCTGCTCAGTGGAAACACACTTTTAAAAAATAAAACTTTTTTTAAATGGTGACTCTTGATTTAATTTGTTCTCCCAGTTTTAGAGCTGTGGGAAAATGTGTTCCAACCTGCAAAAAGCTATGATTGATCTCATTGAGGTGTTCCACTCTTACTCTGGAAAAGAAGGTGACAAGTACAAGCTGAGCAAAGAAGAGTTGAAGACCCTGCTACAGAACGAACTCAGTGGTTTAATGGCAGTAAGTATCTGTTAGCAGTTTTCCAATGGAAAAATTGGCTTTTTTTTTTTTTTATACTGGCATTAAGAATTCTCCCAACCCGCAGCATGAGAACAAAATGAGTACTAGTCGCCACTAAAGTAATGCTGTTTGACTTTGAAAGTTGTCAGTTACAAACGTTAAAGTAAACATTACTCAAACTTGACTAAAATTACAAATTAGGTGAGCTCCTATAAATCAAATGGTGGTATTTTGAGGAGAAAAGTAACTTTACTGTTTAATGCCTCCCAAGTTTGAGCTTGTAAAAACTTTTGTTCAATTTTTCATCAATGCTTCTGTCTTAGGAAAGCAAGGACCCCGCAGTTGTCGACAAGATTATGACTGACCTGGATACGTAGGTGTCGACAAGATTATGACTGACCTGGATGAAAACCAAGATGGTGAAGTGGACTTCCAGGAGTTTGTTGTTCTGGTTGCTGCGGTGGTTGTCGCCTGCCATACTTTCTTCGAGGACCTCGACAAGGGCAACGTGACACCATGTAGCCGTTCCTAATCACAGCACCTTGTAATGCTGTAGATATGTTTCCTTTGCCCATCCAGTGTATTCCATACAATAAAGATGTTGCCCTGCTACATGTGGGAAGCATGGTGTTGTCTAAAAGCATTTGACAGATGCAAATAAAACAAGTCCTGTTGTGGTCCATGTGCACATTTTACTGGCAGCCTTGAGCATCACCCAGTGTCTGATGGGTGTATTTCACACTGACCTGCTAGTCCAGAGGTCATTTCTTCCTCAGACTGGCTGTGCACGAGTACAGCCACATTAAATGATGTCAGTCCTGGAGGCAGGGACACTTTCTAATTCATTAGACATTATGGGTGTGCATTGTAAAGGGCAAGCACAGTTGTCGGTGTGACTAGAATACATCTAATCAAGCGACACAGTGGCTGCTGCAAGACTTTTTTTTTTCCTCCCTTTTTCTCATGCACTGACAGTGCAGAACCCAGCATATGTCCCAAACTCTGAACTAAAAGGTACAAGTTTTGATTGGATTGAAATGCTGTCTAAGGTTGTGGAGCAACGCTGTTGACCCTGTAGGGCGGCTCCTTCCCCCCCATGCATGCAAACACACAGTGACATTTTGATGTTGAAGCCTTTAATCTTCCAAGAAATCAGCTTTATCAGACATTTGGGAATTTTGTATTGCATTCAGTGACATTTTAAACATGTTTTTGTTCTGCAAGAGCTGTGCATTTCAGTTGCACACCAACCCTATAGTTGGCTAATATGTGGTTAGGGTTGGGGCAACTTAGTTAATACTGGATACCTTTCAAGGAAAGGCCAATAATTGTACATCTGTAATGGTGTTGTGAGTGAGACCCATTGTGCATGCGCACACACCTATTCACCACTCTGTCCTTTGTGCCCTTTCTTCTCTACACATAAGGCTGCTACTTCATTCCCCGAAGTGCTGGCACTTGACATGAAATGAATGATTCCAAGTTAGCTGGGCAGGGCCAATACTGCTGGTGGACTGGGTGTGTCTTTATTGGTTTTCATGTTTTCATCAGATCAGGTTTATTCTGCTTGTCACCAAAGAGCGTGCAGTTGAACAAAGTCAGGACATTCATCTTCCCCAGTGTGATGTTTGTGTAGTGTTGGCCTTTTGTACCGTCAGTGATCATAAAACAAAAAGAATGCAGTTTAGGCTGTGACGTATTGGTTGCAAAACATGTCTGTGGCGCTTTGGAGTCTGACAATTGTGCCCCATAGGTAGGTGCTGTAACAAAAAGTAAGGTCTTGGACCACAATGAACAATCTGGATTTACAACCATTGTATCCAGTTCAACTGATTGTGATTTGTGATGGCTGTGGGAGGCACAAGCTGACTATCAGATTTTATAGGTTTGGTTCTGCAGGCCATTTAAAGATTACATTTATTAATTAGCATCTCCTCCTTCAGGAAGAACAGTAGCTGTTTTCAGCTTGAATTCATATCTGTCACAGTGGATGACAGATTCTAGCCCTGATCCTCACTGGTTTGTTTATGCTTGCAGCTAAACTTTAGAACCAAAACAAACATGAATGACTCGAATACTCTGATCCTGAGCTGGTTACGCAGGCATACTGTACTGAGGACAACAACTGACAACCTTCAGCACCACCCAGTGTCTGATGGGGGTAATTCACATCAGGCTGCTTGTACTGACGTCATCCTTTCCTTCAAATACAACAGTGCACAGCTCATTCAGCAGCTCTCCTCCTCCCCTTCCTCCTCCGCCCCCACCACCTCCCCCTCTGTTGTTTTGAAAAGAAAACACTGGCTGTGCACTGAGACAGCCACATTACATGCCATCAGTCTTAGAAACTGACAGTAAAGGTACTAAGACCAGCAGAAAAGAAACATTTATTGAAACAACACAGTGCAGGCAACAAAGGCTCTTATTTGGTTATTGCCCTGAGTGTGTCTTGTCTTTGTTAGACAGGGCTGCATCCCCAGTACATCAGGTGCTTAATGACTCCTGGTCTGACCTTATTCTCCACACCGATGTACTTCCTCTGAAAAGAGACAGTCAGATGAACCAGAAAAATAAAAGTATTGAGCTTAATTATTTAAAATCATCATAAATCCTACAGAAAACATTATTTTTGTTTACTGAACTGCAGCAACTTCATAGTGGAAATACTTTGTTCTCTTTTCTCTACAGCAGCTACAAATACTACTGCGAAAACAAATTTGCAGGTTCAAAAATAAGCTTTCAGCACCAGTTAGTACAGAATAAAATCAATCTTTGCGGTATTAAAAGCACATTTTAATTAATACATTACACAAGCCTGAAATTGTGACATATTTATTGCAAGTTGTTCATGGAGGATCAGATCATAAAATGCTTGTATATACCATTTGAAGAGCAGTGACAAACAGTGTGCTGTGTCATTTAATGGATATAATCTTCTCTACCACCAGAACACACTAATTCATACACTGGGACTGATTGCTGACATTGGATATAAAGTGAACATGCTTCCAAGTCATACTGCAAGTGTATTGGGTGTGTCTTTATTGGCTTCACTTCACCACCATGTTTTGATGTTTCCAGCAAAAGAGGTTCATCCAGTTAATCCATCAAAGACTTAGAGAGCACAGTCAAACAAGGAGCGAGATTATTCCTGTTTTCACAGCACAAACAGTGCATACCCAATGGCTTTTCTCATGAGATGTTGGCCATTATTCCATCTGTCACTGATTTCAAAACAAAAATATCTTTGCAATTTAGGCTGCAATGCATTGGCTGTAATACAAATGTTTGCGGCCTGTTGAAGCAACAAAAAAGTGTAAGAACTGTGGGGTCTCATTGTCATGACCAGCAGATTTGGCCTAGATTTGTCTTTAGGACATTATTCCTTTTTCTTTAAAGTCTCTGAAAACCAGTTTTATCAGATCCTTGATCTGACTAAAGGGATCCTAAACTGTTCTGATTACTTCACATGAGCGATTTCTGCACTTGTATTTTTCTCTAAACTCATCTCACGGGTGTGAAATGGGTGAGGCGCTGCTACAGAAAGTGAGATCTTACACTTTACAACGTGACCAAAATTTGAAACCTTGCTGTCAGCCAAACCTGATCAAACCACACCCACACTGTCCTGATGAAACACTGCTAGACTCATTGAAACAGTGTGTTGTCATTTAAGATCCTTAACAGAACACAAGGGTTAATGGATATAATTTTATATGCAGTTCAGGAACAGGGCCATACCTCAAACACTTCTTCCCCCCTCATGTCTGTACTGTAAATACCCTCCCGGCCTGCACACCAGTTAGTTCTTGTTTTCTGTGCCCTACCCTTCTTCTCTTGCCTCTCTTTCTCCTACCATCTCCCACATTCTCCCCGGGGGTAGCCAAGCACAGAAGCGACAGTAAAGCCAGCCCAAAGCCTTCTCCACACCACAGCCATCTTCCTGCTCCATCGTGCCCAGACACTGCTCATACATTTCATCTTCAATAAACAATTCACTTGCAGCTCATTTGATGGTGTGGTCTTTGCCAGTGAAACCAGAAAAACCTGTTTGACCTGCAAAGTGTGTGTGTGTGTGTGTGT